GCAGTCATAGCGACTGTTGCATCACAAGGTGAAGATAAACGTGGGATTCGTATTTTTTCGCTTGCCCTAGATTGGTCCTTTTTGCTTCGCCTTCTACATTTTTTGCCGAGCAGAATGTCGCTGATAATTCTTCCTTTCTGTAAAATAACTGCTTCAATAAGTTCCACATTAATTTTAACAGATTCACTATCAGTATGTGCCTTCCTTACTACAGATGAGAACGCGCATGCTCAGAGTGCTTTCAAAGCATTAGTTCTATTGCATCTCAATCTGATCAAATTGATCTGGGTTCAAGGCCATAACGGCATTAAATGAAGTGGCAGATGCGTTGGCAGTTGTTTTCAAATGGGCCAGTTGTGTAGGTATTATCGGCATCGAAATTCTAAATAGGCGCTATATTAAGAAAGAAACTGCTGATAGAGAAATTCGCTACACCTATCTCTAACAGTCACACCAGAATTCAAACACTTGCTGTATCACTGGATTAGGAAAAGATGTCAAACGCGAGCAACGGAGGTCGCAATCACTAGAATGCGCTGTAAAATTGCGCAGCTAAATTTGTATTTACAGAGAGCTGGCCTCGCAGCCTCCCCTCATTGTCCTGTTTGTGTAGTAAAAGAGTCAACTGAACATTACCTTATTTATGGTAATAGATTCTGTGCCTTACGCAAAAAACAATTTAGGTGCCGTTTGCCACCTTCTCGGAATACATTTAAATGCTCACACTGTGCTGTCTTTCGGGGCTTTGTCTCTTAGCCACCGCTACTGGAAGATTGTCGATGCATTGCAAATATTTGTCAAAAATTCAAAGAGGTTTAGGTGTTGAAATCATTCTTCCGTAAGTTTTGACATTTCCAAATTCACATAAAATCAATTACAGCATTACACTGCGGAATATTTACAATTCCACTATCAAATTCGTCCTGGTGCATCTTTCATTTATTTCTCGTGAATAGATAAACCTAAGATGTTATTAAGGAACTAATTCATGAAAACTATCTGGTTCTTCTCCAGTCCCCCTGCGCGGGTGTGCGCCACATCGTCAAGAATCTTGACTTGACTTAAACATGGACGTTCTTGGTGTAGGGCTCCGGTGTGCAATACGCGACATATTTTTTTGCCGAAAACTCCCAAGTCACGCCCTTCCAAGACTTCTACTTCCAATGGCTTCATTGGAGCGGCTGCGCAACAACCGTGGCGTTGTCAGGGCCAGCGTCACACGAGCTATCACGCTCCTGACCGACGAGTTCAAAGCCTCCGTTCCCGATGCCAGTCATGTCTACTCCCACGTTGCCTGCCTTACTCAGATGAACGCCAAACTTGTTCCCCTAAAAAAAAGAAATGTTCGGTGCGACTAATGACGGCGACTACAAGTAACAGCTCGAGGTCACGGAAAAGTACGACCAAAGGGGCTCTTACGCCGGGTCAAGAGTGTGTTTCTGTCACGAGGCGACAGTAACGAGTGCTGCGAGGTTGGTGGCTGCAACACTGAACACCGACGCTGGTGGTCCCAGCAGCCTAGAGCCAGGTCAGTGACTCTTCTCAAGTAGCCGGTGGGATTCGCAGTCAAGGAACGATGCCGCGTGATCGCACGGTGGTCCTGCCGAAACTACAGATTCCGAAGTTTTCCGGTGCACTTCGTGATTGGCAGTTCTTCTGGGACCATTTCAGTGCCACGATTCACCTGAATGAAGGCCTTTTACAGATCGAGAAGTTCAAGTACCTTCCATCCTATTTGAGTGGTGCAGGCAAAGAGAGCAATCGACAACATCCGACTAACCGAAAGACAATTACAACATCGCGATCGAAACCTCTACGAAGCGACGCGACTTGCTTGTCAACAAACACGTTGACCATCTGATCGCTTTACTGCCCATCAAGCCATCGGCAGACGTGTAGAAGTTTCGCCTCCTCTACGACAAGGTCAACTTTCGAGTCTCCGCGTTGACTGGTTAGGGCGTCCTACCTGACTAGTACAACGTGGTCCTCAGCCGCGTCTTGATGAACCGTCTGCCAGTCGATCTCGCGATTCTCTACCACCCAAAGGCGCAGGAAGCGCCGCAGGAAACGCCCGGTGTCGTGACACCTGAACATAGAAAGTTCGCCAGGCTGCCGAATCACCCAATTTTTTGCGCATTCTGATTGAGGTTCTAAAGAAAAGCGGGCCATAACAAACGGTGTCGTTTCTCGCGTTTGTTCTCGGTAGAAGTCTGACCCCGGCCAGCGACAGTGGGACGTCTACCAATGGCATCCGCACTTGCGGGCACTTGCTGAAATTGCAGCATGACTTCTCCTTCCTGACTGCGATGCTTCTGCGACGCGGCATCTCGACGTCATCGGACTCAAACCATCTGCCGAGAAAAAAGACAAGGCTCTTCCAGAACTTAAGGCATCTGTTGGGAGCGCAAGTCAGCGAAGAGCACGCACACTAAGTTAACAAACACCTTCAGACAAGGGAGAATATATCTCCTGCGCCTTCTCACGCAGTCACGCACCCAAGAGGCATGACAAGGCGTCATGCTGTAGTTAACGCTTCACTGCGTGCGCTGAGACATCTCTGCCAGAAGAATCTCCAGCTGAAGTGTTCAAAGCTCGACGCCGATGATGTGCAGATGCTCACAGTCTTCAGATTTCAGCGAAGCGCAAGCTGGAAGTTCATGGGTGACATACTTTCTTGGTGAAGAGGTTTCATCTAGTCTACAAAGGCTGTTTGAAAGGGTCCTTTGAAAACAACAGTCTCAACGCCGAGGGACTGGTCACTACGATCTGCGGAGTTGCAACGGTCGTCAGCAGAAGACTTCTTGTGTACCTGGACAGTAGTCCTTGAAAAATTGTATCTCCTGACAAAATTACATTGCTTGCTCGAAGACACGCAAAGAACTACCCTTTCAGACTACAGGGCATTTCCAAGAAGGAGCCTTCCCTGCCGCACACGCTATGATAAGCGTCTCCCAGCGCAGCGACAGGTACGAGAGAAGTGGTCTTACCTGCTATTACAACAATTCATGCGCGATGGGCCTGTTCCTGAATGCCTCGGCTGAGTTCTGGTGATTGTGCTTCTGCATAAGCAGGCTACGTCCTTACATGCGACTACAAGGCATGTAGAGTGACACGATAGCTGAGCAGTATTGTTAGTGCACCAGTGGAGAGTGGTAGCGTGCACATTCATATTCCGCTGACAGGCTTTTGTACAAGAAATCAAGCAACCTGTTCAAAAGACGTACTGTCTTGGAGGTAGTCGGTAAGAGGCAACTTCCTTGGCCCCTGGGGAATATGTTTCTAACCATTACAGACAGGCGGCAACATGAAACAGAGCGTCGTAGAATACAAGAAGGAACTTAGGCACGAGCATTGGAATAAACATGGTCGTTCTTGGTGTTGGGCTCAGGTCTTGCATACGCGACAGCGGACATGCAGGGCAGGATCGTAAAGTTTGCCTCGATTCGAACGACGAACCCCGAGGTGGCTGAGCCAGTGGCCATTGCACTTACTAAGCAATACGGGTCAAAGAGACAGCCTATAAAGTGAACCCAAAGCAGCAAAGCAGCCGTCAGGGCATTTCAGAAAGTCCTGGGTAAGACGGCAAGCAGTTCACATTCTGAGAAACGCCAGAAACAGTGACAGCGCTACACACAGCATCTTAAGGTTCCCTGCTCACATCGGGGAAATTGAGAGTTTTTCTAAACCTTAACAAGTCTGCCCACGAGGCTGCGCGTGGCTTTACCGACCGCGCTACCCTCGGATCAGGCGACTTTCCTCCTGAACACGGGGACGCTCCTAGCACGCACAATAAATAACCTAATTCTTTTATTTAGAGAGAAGGCTCTTCCCACCACCTGATACCAAGCTAAACAGACTGCAGGTGGTTACGCTCAGAATCCTGCAAACCAACTCTTACCCTCTTCCTGCGTTCCTTAATTGGATCTATCCGGAAATTCGAACCAATAGTTCTTACGCGGTTTGCGGAAAGGATGCTACTTTGCCTCACTTGCTCTGGGAGTGCTGCGTCGCTGGGCCCGACCTTCATTAAGGAAGAGTGGGGCACGCTCCTGCGAAATCTTGTCTTCGAAGACCTAATCCTGGCCTACCAGCGTGCCCGTGATCGAGCCGGTAGGCTAGACCTCTTGGTTTCGTCGTGGGATTAGTCAGATGCGCGTTTCATCGCGTTTTCCCTGACCAAATAAAAGTGTATTCACTCACTCACTCACACGACCCTCGCTTGCTAGTGCGGATTTGGGTGCCTGCCACAAGCCTTGCACTGTCACCAACTTTGTTTTGCAATACCTGGGTCACTACCATGTTGTAAAGCAAACGTCTCTCGTGAAGTGTACTTTAACCCTTAAGATTGTTTTCGGAGAACCACTGCCGGCAGCTAAATATTGTTCGTGTCAAATGCTTAAATTGTTGTTACGATCCGCCTTTCCTCTGCTGCCCGTAAATCGCTGTGACGGCTTTTTTTCCCAGAGGGAAGCAACTGTATTGGACAGTAAAGGGCACAGTGGAGGTGTGGCTTGAAGAGGCCAACGAGTAGGTGACAAAGCTACTGTTCTGGTGTGGTCCTGTTTATTACAACATGCGATGCGTTGAAGGAGGTTATCAATTTGGACATTATATGAAGCATCACTGCGTTGGTGACGTCGCGGTGACAGAGAAAACCTATCTAGCGTATCAGTGTAGCAGCTATTCGCTATAAAAAAAAAGCTCACACAAGATACATTATCTTATAGGATGGATACTATGGTAAGATTGAATGAGCTTGAACGATACTGACAAGAGGGAAAACAAGAGGGGACATTTTTAACGCAGATAACTACTAAACAACCGTACACGTGGCACCCTCCTCCTCCCAGAACACATTGCGGTGATCTATGTTTTGCAAAACCACTATCCAGCCTTCCGCCTACCCACATTCACTGTATTACTCTGTGTACATCACTTCTGCCTTTATTATAGTATATTACTTCAGCCTGTTTACTTTTTTTCTCTCTTTTTTTTCGCAGCGCTCCTGAACGCCCACGAGTGCTGGGACATTCTAGGCTTGACCAGCTGCATCGAGGGACTCCTATTGACGACTGAGAGCTACGACGTCTCGGAGCAGACAGATCGAGATTTGAAGTACGGCTGTTTTCTTGTTTTTTATCTTCTAGATGACTTGATAACCTAAAATAACGTTGAAGTTTGTAGAGCTAAGTCTGCTACAGAATTTGCACTTTTTTATTGTTAAAAAATGAGCTGCTGTAGTCTCAGTGTATCAGCACATCCTAGAAGTGACGCTATTGCATTTTGTCAATCGTTCATAACCAACGTTTTAGGGGCGGAACTCTTTATAGCAGGCCCCCGTTCGTCCCTCGTAGCCGTTGTAGTATGCAACAAGTATAACATTTTGGCCTCCAAGGTGGTGCTGGTGAGAGATTTCTTCTGTGTGTTGTTGAACAACGAAAAATAGTGCTCAATGTACGTGCCAATGGCTGCTAATGAGAATGAGAAACAGGAGCATTTGGAGTTTAGTTCACGCACACGCAGTGATCCCCTTTAGCAACCATTGGCATGTACATTGAGCACTATCTGACAAGAAAGGGTTGCTACGTTATACTCGCTGGGTGTAACCTCCTTAGTTTTACAAAGGTTTAGTGACCGTTGAGCCACAGTGCCATGAACTAGTATATACCATGAATTGACTCGAAGTGGTTAAAGGTGGGAAGTAGATACTAAGCGCAAGCCGTAAAAAGTAAAAGCCGAATTCTCATGTCTCTCATTTCCCATTAGCAGCCATTGGCATGTAAATTGAGCACTATCTGACTGGAAAAGGCTGCTATGTTATACTCGCTGGGCGTAACCTCCTTGGTTTTAGAAAGGTTTAGTGATCGTTGGGCCACAGTGCAATGAACACAGTCAACTAGTATATACCAAGAACTCGATGTGGTTAAAGGTGAAAAGTAGACCCGAAGCGCAAGCCGTAAGAAAGTGTGCGTTTGCCACCTCTCATTTAGTCCTTGGAATGTCTGCTGGATGGCGGTGCTTATATATGGGGAATATATGATGAAAAGGTGAGAGATGGTGGTACTTGGAGTGTTGAATAGATGGACGAACAGACACACAGACAGATGCATGGATGGACGCATGAACGGACGCAGGGGCGGATGCATGGACGAACGAAAGGACGGACACACAAACAAACGCACGCACGGACGGGCGGATGGACGCATGGATGGTGACACAGACGGACGCATGGACGGGTGGAAGCAAGAACGAATGGACGTACGAATGATTCGCCCCACTCTCCATCATTCACTCCGTGGATATGCTGCCAATTTTTTGTTCGCTGTCTGAATAACCTGAAAACTCAAAAAGTGCTATAGTGCACTAAAGGAGAAAAAACTTTAGAATAGCAGCAGCATTAATGTACAGAAAATGAAGTCAAATGGGACCAAGCCACTTGTGGTGCTGCGATCGGTAGCCTGTAATGTGTCATCGTTTAAGACTTGCGTGCGGCTCCACTGAAGTGGTCACCGGTAGACTTCCCACTCGCTTTCCACTCAGATGGCCAGAACTCGCACCGAGATGTAAGTGGTTGGTTCTGTTTAATGTCATTTGCTGCAGCTCTATCGCTTTTCCGTTGTTTCTTAAATCTAACTTTCCTTGCGACGTATAGCTGCAAAGGTTCACTATAGGTGAAATCTCGTTTCGATTCTCGTATTCGCTAAAGTCTCGAAGGACATACTTTGACATTTTGCTAAATGCCATGCGATGGCGCTGCAAAAAAATGGCATTCTAGAGTCACTTTATGTGCTCCCGACAGAAGCAGAGTTGCGCAGAGGTTCGCCATCTTACCTGGTCAGCAACCATAGTTACGCCACGAAGCCGCGCCCTATTTTTTCGGGCGACTTGCTTAAGCCTGTCGTCGATCGCCACTCGACGTGCCTGGCGTGTCAACGACCCGCGAAGAAAGAAGAAACACCTGCTTGCGGGACTGTATCACGGGAGTTCGAAAGCATTTTTTCGTCTCCTTAGCAGCGCAAAGGCGTAGTGTAGTCCCTAATAACATGCACCACCACTACATGCGCTGGAAGAGGGCAGTGCAATGAACGAGGAGGCTGCACCGCATGTTGGCTCATTCCTCGGTGAGTTACAATGGTGGCAGCGCTGTAGTCGCATGGTACAGAAAATCCCAGGAGCGTCTGCATTAGGGGCGCGCGCACCGTAGCCAGCGGAAGCGTGTGATTCCTCGTTCTCAATGCGTTCAATGCATTTCTGAGCTTTATTCAGTGTTTGCACAACTGCTACGTGTCCTGGTGCACGAGTGAATATGCAGGAACACCAAAACTGCGTCGAGACATTCACTGTTTCAAGAACCTGCGACCAAAAAAATTATACAATAGAAATTTGCACGGATCAGCCTAGCTTCTCTCTAAAGCAGCGCTACATTACAAGTAGCTTCTTCCAAACTACAACGAGAGGAGAAGTATCCAATCCGCCATTAAATCACGCGGTTGTTTTGTTGGCTGTATCTACGATATCCGGAGCACAGTTCCTCATATGAGTCCACATGTACTCGATCGTCTCAATGGAAATTCGAGTATAAGTAACGTTGTCACAACATTTCTACTCGTGACGACTCAATTTTATTATGCCAGTTTTGCAGAAGATAATAAGAATGCTTTCAGAAACGCTTGTGTTGTTTTAACCACGTGCTTCAGTGCTTACTGCGCTTCTTTTTTGCATGCACCAAGTGCTGATAATATCAGGAGGCAGCTAGAGAGCCTAGCTGAAGGAACGCGGGTACCTCCGAGTCATGAACTCTATGCGAAAGTGGTCATCCTAAACATACTAAAGAGTTCCAGTTGTACATATAGCCCGTCAGTTAATCTGCGTAAATACACTGTAACCAATTTTCATTTTGTATCGACAGCATAAATAGTGCTGTTTTTCAAATGCCATTGTAAGCCTGGAAGTTTTTGACTATGTTTTGCATTATAAGTGTAGTTCTTTTAATGAGTGTCAAAAGTATAGGCAGACAGCGGCGTGTTTCGTTTTCAAAATTTTACCTTGTATATGTACACAGAAAACACACACACACGCACACACACACACACACACACACATCTATATATATATATATATATATATATATATATATATATATATATATATATATATATATATATATATATATATATATATTGGGAGTAATGATTCAATGGGCCAGTTAGTCTTCTTGAAGGTATGGGGCATGGCACAACGGGAGCGTTGTCAACAAGGATATATGTATTTATTTTCCAACAGTTTCGGGAGGGGTCCTCCCTTCATCAGGGGATGAGCTAACTCATCCCCTGACGAAGGGAGGACCTCTCCCGAAACTGTTGGAAAATAAATATATTTATCCTTGTTGACAACGCTCCCGTTGTGCCATATCCCATACCTGTATATATATATCGAAATTACAGCTAACGAGCCAGAAAACGCAAAACGTTCTTTTATAGATTCCAGGTGAACGGCAAGCGCTTGCTGCAGTGAGGCCTGTGCACCACCTTCTCTGCAGTGCATGGTAAAAGTTGCATATTTTCACGGGGTCGTGGCGTGGCTGTAGGCAGGAGACTGTATTGTCAGAGATCAAACTGTTCATTTGAGCGAACCTGTGCCCGGTAAACGGAACGTCGGGTTACAGTAGCAGACTTGAACTGATAGTGGCGAGCGAAGCGTCAGCCATCGATCAACAACTGCCAAGCGGCGAAGCGTGTCGGCATTTATACAATTGGCATCGAATTTTCTAGTGTTATCACTAGCGGCGACGTAGGTTTCAAAATAATCTGGATTGCTCACGAAGGGGGCGTAATCTTAATAAAATGATCTACTGCAGTCCCGAAGCTTCTTTAACAATGCATGTGCGGTTTGCGCTGAGAGTTATGGGCGGTGTACTGGAGTGATAACAAAACTTGTGGAAGAGACGTGGTATTGCCCCCCTCTGAAAAAGACATCGTCCCGATGCTTTAGCAGAAGATGAAAGTAAAATAATATTGCAAGAAATAACAAAGAATAAATTACAATGCTCAAATAACAAAAACAACAGCAAAATTCACTCTTTCAGTTCACTAGCGTGCATGAAACAGCTTGAGGTGCGCCACATGAACGACTTCAGGTCACGATCGGCACCGTTGATAGTTTCTGATGCCATCGGGGACAATTTCGTAGTCTAGTGGGCCGAGACGTCGTACCACCCTGTATGGTCTGAAATACCGTCGCAGAAGTTTTTCATTTAGTCCACGTTGGCGTAACGGCGTCTATACTCAAACACGTTCACCGGGCTGGCATTCCATGAAGCGTCGCCGAAGATTGTAATGGCAGCTGTCCGTCGTCTGCTGATTTGTGATGCGCAGGCGGGCGAGTTGACGAGCTTCCTCAGTGCGCTGAAGATAGGTGGTGACGTCGAGGTTTTCTTCGTCAGAGACGTTGGGGAGCATTGCGTCGAGCGTTATTGCCGAGTTCCTTCCGTAGACCAACTTGTACAGCGGCATCTGCGTCATCTCCTGCATGGCCGTGTTGTATGCGATGGACACATACGAAATGATGACATCCCACGACCTGTGTTTGACGTCGACATACATGGCCAGCATGTCGGCGATTGTCTTGTTTAGCCACTCAGTGAGACCATTTGTCGGTGGGTGGTAGGCAGTGGAGCGGTGGTGCCTTATCTGGCTATGTCTCAAGATCATTTCAGTCAAATCAGCAGTAAAGGCCGTATCTCTATCATTGATGAGAACCTCTGGAGTGTCACAACGAAGGACGAACAGCAGTTGCAATGAAGAACTTGGCAACCTCTTCGGCACTACCTTTGGGGAGAGCCTTTGCTTCTACGTAGCGGGTGAGGTAGTAAGTAGCTACGACGATCCATTTGTTTCCGTAATTGGACATCGGAAACGGCCCCAGTAGGTGCATCCCGACTTTGTTAGAACGGTCGACGAGATTGTTCGATCAGCTAGAGGAAGTCTGCAGGCCTTGTTGGTGGTGTCTGGCGACACTGGCAGTCTCGGCAGGTTTTCACATAGTGGGTTACGTTGGTCGTAAGGCGAGGGCCAGTAGTACTTTTTTTGTATTCTCGCCACCGTACGGCAAAACCC